TAGGTATAATTTGTTCAATATGTATTTTCCAAGACAGTGTACTGTCTACATGTATTCCAAGGAATTTTGTATCAAGTACTTTACAGATTAATTTGTTGGCATAACTGATGTCCAGATCAATTTGGTGGTTGTTTTTAGTTGTGAATGATATGTAATGGGTTTTATCAAAATTTAATGAGAGTAAATTGTGCTCAAGTTATGAACATGCCTCTGCTCCCTCATATATTTTCATGGTGTGATGCTTAACTAATTGAAGCACATTTACTTTACCATTATTATTATTAAATTTATTATTATTATTGTTGTTGTTGTTGTTACTGTTGCTGTTACTACTACTACTACTACTACTACTACTACTATTATTTTATTTATGATTTAAGTAATTTGAATGTGGATACCAAGTATATGGAACTGGCAGGAAAGTAAGTAATTTGCTGTACAGGGAGGTATGAGCTGAAGCTGAGAGGCAGAAATGTGGAAGAATTAAGAAACGAAGTCAAAATTGTAAAAGCAATTAGCAAGGACATTAAAATGGAATTTGGACTAGAAAAATGTGCCAGAATTTCTTTCAAAAGTGGCGAAGTCTATAAGACATGTAGGAAGCAAAGTGGAAGATTAAATTAAAGAACCAGATTCAATGAAATATGTAAGTGGGTGTAGAAAAAAATTACAAATGAGGAATGAAGTTGAAGGAGGAGTATGTAAGAAGATTAAGACTGATTCGAAGCAGAGTTAAGTGAAAAAAAATGAGTGTAGAAAATCAGACCACAGGCAGTACCAGTACCACCTTCAGAATTATTAACTGGAGTCAAGAAGCTGTATAAAAAATGGACAGAAAAATATAAAAATTATATCTGTTCCTGGACATCATCACCTAAGAGTGGACATATTGATTGCTTATATGAAGAAGGGATTTCATGGGAGCAGGAGTCTACATAGTACAAGTTACAAAACTGATGAAATATGTAGAAAGGAGACTGTGAGGCCAGACCTACACAATACAGACTCAGCACCACTTCAGATAGTTAACAATGTCAATAAAGCTCTTCAAAGTGAACCAAAGCAAATAAAAGAATAGTTTAGAATATAACAGAAAATGAGAGGGGAAGTTGCATGGACAATTCCTACTTAGTTTAGATGAAAATCTGGTGGATTAGGAACAGTCCTACCAGTGGCTTAAGTTTGGAGACATAAACAGAGAAACAGGAAGCATAAGATTCCCAGCTCAGGATCAGACAATCAGCACAAACTATTTTAAGGGAAAATTTCTAAAAAAAGAAACAGAGTAAGTGCCGGATATGTAAGGAATATGAAGAAACTGTTGACCATTTAATATCACGATGCCCCACTCTGGCAAAACATGACTACATAATAAAAGTAAAGTAAGTATAGCTATCCCTGTAACAGGCTGTGGAGGCCCATAGGGTTGTGAGATGTCGAGGCTCCCACATTTTCTAGACATTCGGCTCACAGATGATGGCAAGACTGTCAGCCTTATGTGCCAGCTGCCCTTTACCCCCAGGAAGATTCCCAGTACTTGTTTCCGTTAGAGGCTAAGTCAACCCCCGAGCCTTAGTGCTGTTGGAAGGATTAAGTCAAAGTGAAAAATCTAATGACCTCATTGGGAATTGAACATGCAACCTTCCAACTGTTAGCATAGTGCCTCGAAGAATTACCCTACCTCGTGCCCCAGCTATGTAATAAGACAAGATGAAGTCTGTACACATCCACATTATTCAAGATGCAAGAAACTGGTCATAGAAACAACAGAAAACTCATATTCACAAGCAGCTATGAGTATGTCTCCACGTGAACAAGCTATAACAGGGCTGTGGAATCAAGAGGTACAAAGAGACAGAGAGGTTCTAGCACATACGCCCAACAGCAGGATTAGAAAGAAGAAAGATGAGATTTGCATGTTGATAGGTGTAGCAATACTCTCAGAAAGGAATGTAATATAAAAGGAGGCTGAAGAAACTAAAGCACAGAAATTAAGCAGATGTGGAGAACGAAATGCATTGTCATACTTGTAGTCACTGAGGACACAGGAATTGTTATTGAAAAACTAAAGAAAATACAGTGAACCCTCACTAATCTGAATTAATTGGTGGGGAGGTCATCCAGATTAAGCAATCATTTGGATTAGTCAAACAAAAAGTAGCCCTAAAAGATAAAAAGAACTAGAACACAAATAAATGGAGAATTTAATGATATAAATAGTGCTGATTAAAATAAATATCATTGTAGAGCCTTTATTCAAAAACTACAAAAAGACAATACATTTATTCATCATTAGAAGACTCAGAAGTTGTATTTGTTTTTGAACGTAACAATGCAGGTTTGAAGAAACTGTCAAGTTTTGTCTGAACAGACAAGTGACTCATCTGTCATGTATCTTTTAAAGTATGTACTGAACTGTGAACAGCATTTTTCATATTTTGATTTGGATTATCCAACATCCAGACTAACTGTAACTGGATTAGCGAGGGTTCAGTGTTTCTGGAAGTAATGCCAAGAAGGCGTTCAGTAGATTCTCTACAAGAAAAAGGGAGCTGTGCTGGGAACGTCGCCCATAATTAGGAAAGTTCTATATTCTTGAAGCCTCAATGGCGGGGTTCGCTACGCTTTCAAGAAGAGGGGAAACCCGTGTGATAAGAGAAAATAAAAACAACAAATACAAACAACAACAACAATAATAATAATAATGTTGAGGGACAGAAAAGGATAGAAAGAAAATAATACATAATTATTATTATTAAATAATTACTACTACTACTACTACTACTACTACTACTACTACTACTACTACTACTACTACTACCACCACCATCACAAGGAGCATACTACTATACTGCTGCAAGTTTCATGGGGTCTAAGTAGCGATCATGGTTTCAAAAGTGTTTGTTTTTTTTTTCCGTGCTCTCCTTTGCTGATCTGTTAACAATTAAACAGGAGAAACGCACGACTTTCCTTCACCATGCCCCTCTGTCCATCCACATTTATGTAATCCAGATTTTGTTATGGACCGATAAGGCCGAAGAAATGGAATTGGCTGAAAATTTGTAGCAAAAATCTCGCGTACTGAATTACACGAAAAGGTGTCAGGCGGTTTCGGATCTGATCCTAGTGACATGGCGTTTTTTAACGTTCACATATACGTGATATGAGAACGTATTGTAATCTTGAAAAAAAATATTTACAGATTTTGACGGGTTAACACGTTTTCAGCATCATCCTAAAATAGGAAAGAATGGTTTCCGGAATGCCGTCTGTCTGTATGTGTATGCGCTTTGATAGTGCCTGAACAGTTGGACGGATTTTATTCATATTCGATATTTATGACTTTAACCATCATAGGTCAGTGCTCGGTGAATGTGAATATTCTGACTTCAAAAACAGAGGCTTTTCACGGCGATCCCCAAAGATAAAATCGCGATTTCCTCGAAAACGACTGTAATGGTTTTAATTACATTTCACCACTTATGACAGCCCCTTTACTAAATTATTCTGCAAAAGTTTTATCTTCAGGAGAATAACGGTACGCCCTGTAGCGGCCCAAAACGCGCTGTATATCGTCTCTGTACCCATTTTTTTGCTTTCTACAGAACGTCTCATATGGGCACATTATACGAACACATGCACGCATCTCGAATGTAAGTCACAAAATATTTATTACGACGAAATCTTTTTTTCACTCTCGAAAAAAACGCTGTAAAGAAAATTCTATGCACATTTTATGTCCGACACATTTTTCCGTTAAGTCTTCCGGGTTTCGAAACAGTCAATGAAATGGGATCTAGTGCACAGGAATTATTATGAGTTTGTACCTTAACTTTACTTCTAAATTATAGATTAGATAAGGACACAGCAGTGAACTAACAATATGAGTATTAAGACATCACAACTGAAATATATGGAAGCAGTGTTCGCGCCACTGTTCATGAGAAGGGCGCGTGGACAAGAATGTTAAAACAAAAAGTCATGCTACAACGAAACTGTAATAGCGTTTGTGTGCCAGTGTTCATACATCACTCGTCACATATACATTCCAGAAGCACACCTAAAGATAAGACACACCTGTGTTGGGCAGCCGTGCGTCTTCTTCGTCTATTGGCACGGGTATGTGGGCTCCCAGACCGGATCCGTTTCTCTGAGCTCTTGTCACTTTGTGCATCTTACACCACACGTTCGCGAGCCGCTACTCAACCGCGATAAAGCTCTGCGTGTTCTTCGCATTGCCCTATATACCGTCCAGGCCACGTGGTCGCGTGTGATGATCACTTCGGCATAAACTTGTTACACAGTCTGCCTGCACCTTATCTCGTTCGTTTCCCGACCGAGCGTTATGCAGTGTTGCCTCCACTTCTCATATCCGTAGCGTACACACATAATGGCTGGCTGTAAGTGTAGTAACAGTTCTTGCACTTCAGAAACGAATTTTGAAAGAGTCTGTTCAGTCTGGTGTAAACCAGTTACTGTGGATGTAAACCCGTGTCACTACGGTCCACGTGATGAGTACACTTTTCAGACGTCAGTATAACTGCCCATACAATGAACTGTAGCTTGAACTTTAGAGTTTTATTGTGCACTGTTAAAAATTGAAATACTATATCGAGTTCAACTCTTCAAAGCACAGTGGTTACTATATATAGCATCTGCTTTAACACTAAAATACTAATACGTTTCTGCTGAGGCCGGGAATGAGTTGCTCTCTGCACGACGTGTACGAAATGAACGCGTGTCGTGTCTCTGTCCGCGTGTCAGTACGAGAACCCCTGACGGATTTTGATGATACTGTGACGCGCGGCCTCAAAGTTCCATCTGCTGGGCGGGGCTACGAGGAGCACGTTCCCGTGGTAACACGAAATACACCGTTACTCAGGGTTTTGATGGAACAGTCGGTTGTTGAGCAACGGCTAGTTGAACGTTTGTTCTCACAGCAACGGAGGAGTCGTTTTCGTGACAACGGAGAAATGAACTGTTCGACTCGGTGTCCCCTATTTGGTATTTGGTATTTCGTACTGCCGTTGGTCGTAACATAACTTTGACTTTGACAGAAGACCACCCCCGTGTGGTGACGGGGCCGAATACCTCCACCCTGACCCTGCGAGTCGTAGGAGACGACGAAAAGCGAAGTCTTAAATCTGAGACAGTAAAAAATGGTCGCGAGTCCCAAGGGACTAGGAACCGAGAAAGACTGCGGTGACAAGGACCAGCAGCATATATAAAATACAGACCCGTCCTCTCGTCAGAGAGGGCGTCCCACAAGAACAAGATCGTAACTGTCAAAATAGTAATAAATATCTGGTCATGAGCCCCAAATGGGTCTCGACACAAAGACTTACTGACTGACTGACTGACCGTCAGTCTCATTGTGACTGACTTTGAAGACCACTCCCGTGCTGAGGCGCGGTCGGTCCTCCTCTTCCCAGAGGTGACAACCGTCTTGAGCTCCACCCAACCGATGTCGATCGCGTATGCCCTTTTCTTTCTCAGGTATAACGGTCGCTTGCGGCCTAGATCCTTTGTTCCCATTTTTCCTTCATGGCGCGTCCGTAAATTCTTCCTGAGCGGCCCTACTCTCTGGGTTGCTCGCTCAGTCACGGCCATGGTGCAGTCCCTTCTGACGACGCCTCTCTTGGTGGACAAAATAGACACCAACATGAAATCCAGCCAGGAAAAGGCGAAGGCACATAGGAAGGCCAACAATGATTCGCTGGCAAGGATGGAGAGTGATAGGTTCTCTAGTCTCCAGATTGGTGGCCGATAGAAAAGCACACCATGAAGCTCTAAAGGAAATGATGGATGCCAATCAAGAATGCAAGAGGAAATAAAATCTGGCCAAGCGGAAATAAGACCCGCAGTTGGTGCCATCAAAGTGAAGTTGGATGCCTTGATAGCAGACGTGAAGGATGGCCGAAAAGAGAGGACGGCCTGCCAAAATGCGACGGAGGCAAATCCAGAGAAAATGAAGCCAAACCCAGGAATGATGCAGTCCATAGGGAAGCGTGAAGAGGTCCCCAAGGAAAAGGCCGCAGTGAGATCTTCTGGAGCATTGACGAAACGGGTCAGGGGCCAACATCCGGACGCGGGGCGCCGCCAGAGGCCGAAGAAGAGGACCATGGGAAATTTTGCATCCCGGAAGAGATTAACCGTCGCCGGCAGGAGACCAGGAAGCAGGTTGAGCAAGGAATCCAGAGAGTACAGACGCTCAGGGAGGACGTGCGGACGCACTACGAAGGCATAAAGGGACTGAAGGACCTAGGCGGCGGGCGGCCGCGATATCTGGAAAAAAAGAGACAAGACCTGAAGCAACTACAACTGGAAAGCACGGGAAACGTTATCAAGACCTACAGGAAGACCTTCAGACTGGAGAACCCGAAGCGAACAGTCGATCTTCTGTCGCGTTATAAAAATCAAGAACTGGACGTTGTGGAAAGATGACCACCTCCGAAACGGTTGAAGAGCTTACTCGCATAGTTGGCGTTAGAGAAGCCGGAGATGTGGGAGCACGGCGACTCTGGATAGTTTCGCCCCCATAGTGGCCCCGGAAACGGACAGAAAAGTTCATGTTTGGATACCTGGATTGACCGTAACCTTATCGGGGAGCCGCTCGGGACGAGAGCATTTAAGGAGGCAGCGGTGGTGGTGGTGGTGGAAGAAGAAACGCCGCAAGAAAATAAGAACGAGCCACAGAAGGAAGGTGAGACAAATCACATACGTTGCAAAAACACAGCCTTCAGAAGAAACGGTCAGTGGCACACTGTTAGGCTGTTCGGGACGAACCGCCTTAGGAGGGAGCAACGTGACATGACGCCTGAAAGCTTCAGTCTGCCCATCTCCTGGGCGGGTCTTCGCTGAGCACGTTCCCGTAGCAACGCGGAAGGCGCCGCTGCTGGACGGCTAATTGCTGGAACACGTTTCCACAGCAGCGAATACGACTGAAGAAGCAATGCATTTCATACAGAGTCACGTCGATTCCTAGACAATGCATACAGGAACGTTTCCGTTCACACGGCAACGAACCTTCAAAGCACAATGACAGCGAAGAACGCAATAACTCTACTGTTGAAGGTGATCTCCATACGCCTCAACCTAAACCTACCTTAGGGAGAGAACTGACCAACAGAAGACAAACAAAAGTTTCAGAAGTGTGATTCAGAAGTCTTTACTGTATGTGGTATAGTTACAGTAACCTTTAGTGTCATCATTGTTCGTAGTTACGAGGTGTTATAGTTACAGTAAGATTGTGTTACAATTAATTACAGTTCCGCCTGGTGATTATCCAATAATTCGATTCATATAATCCGTAATTCATTAATTACTTGTCACATTACAAGGATACGTGACAGTATTTTTTTCTCGCTCCCTTCATGCAAGTTCAACGACAGTATCTCGCATTAGGCAACAACTGCTTCCATCTACATTGCTCCAAATTTATTATTCATTATATCGTTCGACACTATAGAATCTGAGCTACCAGTAGGGTCGCTAAACAAATTGTAAATAAATAACTACATGAAATAACTGTTTTATCATCAGTTGCGCATGAAACTTTTATTCCGGTCTTTACTCTGCAGTTGTTTTATATTTCCTGAAGTAATGTGATGCTTACAAAGGTTTGCATATATTGTTCTTAGAAGATTGCCGTTTTCTGGGATGTCTGGTAGAATTTACGAATGTTTAAGGAAGGACCTGTTACCTCCTCCTAACCTCCGCGGGAAAAGCTAATTGCTTGCAGCAGGCTACCCGACCTCTGCTCCCAGAACACATTAATCTTCGTATTCAATGCCGTGAGAACTTATAATCTTGTACATTGTACTTCAATTTTTGAATGGATGCGTGTAACATTGTATAGTTAGCCCTGCAATGTTGTTTTGAAGGTGTTTGTATAACGTCGTCATGTTTATTTAGTAAGTTCCATGGGGATTTTGCTGAAAATGTTAAGTCCGAGTTACAAGACATATATGAACGTGGTAGGAAATGTATGCAGCCCAGTCTGTGCACAGTGCGTGCAAAGCACGACGTATGCACAACACAGCGCGTGCAAAGCACGACGTATGCACCGTACAATGTATGCACAGCGCAGTGTATACACAGCGCGTGCGCAGGAGCACAGCGATTCCGGCCGTTCTGCGAACTGCGTGACATTTTTTTTTCCCCCTTGGCACTACAGCCCCAGTGGGCCTAGGCCTACCTCCATGAACTTCTCCGTTCACTTCGGGTTTTCTAGATCTTACACGTTCGGTAGGACTCCTTGGGCGGGTGATCAGCTCGTCGCAAGGCCTCTACAACTGCGTGACATACAGATTAGAATTTAGGTCCTGCTGGAGTATCACGTGTTTTTGGGTGATCTTAGTGAAATTTTAGAGCCGATCCAGTGATCGATACTGCATAAGCTTCCCTCTTGTTCGGTTATCTCCAAAACTGCAAGACTCGCATGGAAAAGTGTGCAGAGTCCAAGTTGTGTGTTCCCTGCAGCTGTTCGAAACGTGTTCGCTCCGAGTTGCGCTCGAGATATGCATGGGAAAACGTGTCGGTCTCCATACGAAGTGTCCGCTTTTAACACAAACTGGAATTTATACAGAAATTTTTAGTAAATCTTCCCAGTATGAATATCTTCTTAGCGCTTTCCGCGTTTTTGCAACCTTTTCTTGCGAAAGCGCCGGAATTTATTCTTGCTGAAGAGAAGCCTTAGGAACTGCGAGTATCGGGACATCTCCAGTTATCTTGTCGCATGGAAGCATGTAGGAAGGCAGATGAGTTACTGTTCTGTTCAGACAAAACTTGACAGTTTCTTCAAACCTGCTTAGTACATTAAAAAACTACGTATAATTTCTGAGACTTCTATCGATGAATAAATGTATTGCGTTTTTATAGCTTTTAAATAAAGGCCCTACAGTATTATTTTATCGCTTATTTTCATCAATACTGTTTATATAATTAAATTTTCCGTTTATTTCTGTTGTAAGTTTTAGGGCTGCCTTTTGCTTCGCTTATCCGGATGAACCCCCCCCCAATTACTATGGATTAGCGGTGGGTTACTGTACAGTCTTCTGGGACGCCGCCGCCTTCTTCACTCGACCATGAAGATCAAGACAGCAGATTCCACCGAAATGTTGACCCCTGTTCTACCACGCTACATTGCGTCACATCCAAGAAGGCCGTAACAGTTCGTGTTGATCGCCGTCAGAATCAGTCGAAGTACTGGGACCTTTGTTCCGTTTGTTCGAACAGCGGCACGAGGCTTGTCGGTCTGTGCTGGCCAGGACCGCTTTCTTTCTCAGTCTTCCATAATCACCACGTATCATCATTCTGCCATTTGAACACTCTAACAGTGTTAGGAATTGTGTGTCTGTCCACTTATTTAGTCTCTCAGCAGCTCTGTATGTTTGCTGAAATTCGGTACTGCAAAGTTCCAAAAAGTTGTTACAATTTTAAGAATCCCAAATTTATGTTTACTTAAGTTACACGAACCTGGCTCATGGTACAGAATAATCGTACCTATTATTATTATTATCATTATTGCTAGTGGGGTGGGACTAAGTCCCTTGTACTGCGGCCACTTCTGGCCCTTTGCACCAGCCCCAGATGATAGGTGAGGGTGATTGCGAAGCAATTGATGGAATGAAGTTTGGCAGGGGAACCGAAATACTCGGAGAAAACCTGCC